AGGGTAGTTGTAGTACAACGAGCTGACTGTTTGCCCCAGCCTCAAGACGTTTGCGGCACTCAACAGGTTTTCCTTGAAAATTTCTTAACTCCACTCAGCTTACCTTCCCTTGCAGTCCCACAGTATGCACCTGCTGCCACCATGTTTCACCTCTGAGTTTGTGTGAAGGCTTTGGTACAGCATTTGTAAATTAACTTGTCACTTTTGAAGACCGCAGACTGATCGGACTGAACGGTCTACAACCCTGCTGATCTTTCTGGTGCGTTCTCTTGCCTTGATGATGGCGTTTGATTGCAAATGGTCCTCCATCTCGTAGATTCTCAACTGTGGTTCTCAGAGCCCACCGCACTACACGTTTCAAGTATTTCCCTTGACTAAAGGTGTGTATCTAGAGGACTGGGTGATTAACCGGCTTAAGGAACACTTGATGGCATGTTGAGGAGGTAATGCGATCATTTGAATCAAGTGTGCTGTAGGACAGAGACGGATTTAAGACAAGACGGACCAGGATTAAGGAACCCTGCTCTTGCAAACTTCTGAACCCTTCACAGAACAGCTGTAATTGCACTGAGTATAAATAAATAACATGGATTATTGGGAGAAATCTGCAGCCAGATGGTGGCCATGTTTTGAAGATTTTCCTTCCACTTTGCAATCATGTGTCTCTTTGTCAGTCTATCACTGATAGAGTACACTGATTTTTTATTATTTTGGGGGGTTGGGGGGGCGGTTGTAATGTGACATAATGAGGAAAAAGTTTATAAATGCCTTCGCAAGGGATTATCATGTTTTAAGCGTAGTGGCCTTTGAGGAGACCGTGATGGGAACATCAAAAGCTTGAACTTGGAATTTACTGAATCTTAAACTAATTTTGGGGAAAGTGCGTCAACTACTTCTCATTTAGCTTAATCTATTATTCATCAATAAACATCTTACACTCCCTGAAATTGTTCTGTGTACATGTAGGAAAGTGTCAGATTGTAATGGCTAATAGGATCTTTGCTTTGCTTTTTATTTTGTACCTTTTATGTTTATTTACGTACTCTAATTGGATATCTCTTCTGTTGAATTGTCAGCTAAAAACGGATTCAGCTAAAACTATAGAGTTGTTTGTATGTAAAGTTTTTTGGATCATTCAGGTGATGTGTGCTTGGGAGTCAAACTTCCTCGAATGTTTTTTATTTATTTATTTATTTTTTTTTTTTTATGAAAACATTTGGAAATTTTAAAAGAACTTTCCATCTGATTCTACAAGTACCAAGGCAATTCATCTTCCATTCGTCTCTAAGCTTATGCTAATGTCAGCACTGGTTAAATCCTGCCCTTTATTCCAAAGCTTCCTATTCATCTTCTGTCCTCTCTCATGGGTGACCAATACTCTGCTGCATCCTCCTTGCTCCCCTTCCTTATTATTCTCTCCTTTCTAAGCTTGGTCCCCCAAGGAAAAAAAGATGTGATGATGTTGTGATGACTGAAAGGCATCTGCACAGAGGCGGCGGTGTACCCACACACCGCACGCCGAATATGCTGGTGGCAGCTTATCAGCACGTTTTGTTGATAAGCAAAGAAAAAAAAAATATTTATGGCTCTTATAATTTCTCAAGCCTCCGCTGCGTATCAGGTGTTGCTGTTATTACCTGCAGTCAGTCGGTTGATAAATTAGTCGCTTCATCGGTAAGTCAGACAAGAAAATGATCCGTCAGTCCGTCAGTAAATTAGCAAGTCGCTAAATCATCCGCAGCCTTAATCAGTAAATAATTTGGTTCTTCACTCAGGAATTTGTCAGATCTTCAAATAAGTTAAGTAAATTAACCGTTCTTCAGTTGGTAAATCAGCCAGGAAATTATTCACTTGACTCAAGTCACTCACATAATGAGTCATCCTCCAAGGATTCAGCTTAACTTTGTATTCAAAGCCAAAAGACAATGGCTGCTTAACCTCTGCCGAGCCTGCCAACCTCTGATAACACTCGGCCAATTAGCTCGCAACTTTTATCCTTACAGATGGACTTGTTCAGAGTGTGTACGTGAGCGTGCATTAGATTTCCCCGTGCATCAATGCGTGTCCATGTTTAAAGCACCAGCATATGACTTCCAAGCTCGAAAGGATGCACTCATGTCACAGTGATGTGCGATTTAGCTTTTCAGTGGGGAGAAGGAAGCAACGTTTCAGACGCCACCAGATGGAGAAAAGAGGAACGTTTTGAGAGAAAAGGGGGGGGGGAAAAAAACATTTCTTGCTTCACGGAACAAATTGTAATGCTGCAAGGATATTTTATTCCTACTTTTACTCTCTGTAATTCTTTTCTGAACTCAAAGTTAGCGGCAGAATATCGGTCAGCGGATACAAAGTGGCCATTAAAAAGGCAAGTCGTACTTTTGTTCTGCGCTGTGAAAATGAGTAACTTAAAATGTGTTATTTTACAACCAGTAGAAGAAACACTCGGTGAAAACCAAAAGTGTGGCGCCGTAAAGTGCAAACCAAAAGCCTTTCGTTATAAAATCATTTTGGCTTCGGTCTTCTCTGTCACGAAAGAGGATGCAGGAGGATTGTGTGAGAAGAGAAAGCAATAGAATCCCTGCTTCGTTTTCCAATGTTTGATGTAATTTAGAGATGGACTTAATAGTTATGAGGGTTTTGTTGATCTTTAAACAGTAAACCTTACATAAAGACACGTATAATCTTTTTTTTTTTTTTCTCAAAATGATCTCATATTACTTATAACTGACATTTTACAAATAAAGGAAACTGGGCTGAATTAATTTTGGCTTCCTATTTGCATATGGAAGTTGATAACATTTGGTTGCTGTCTGTGGTGAGGCAGTTGTTGTCGGGTTGTCAATAATCGGTAACACTTTATTTGAAGGGGGTTGAATAAGACTGTCATAACACCGTCATAAACATGAAACCTGTCATGAACATGAATAAGCCTTCATGAATATTTATGGCTGTTGTCATAAAGCGTCATTCAGTAAATTATGACACTTTTAATACAAAGTTGACATTATTCAAAATGTCTTTATGACAACTTGACATTAACCAAGAAATCATTTCTGATATAAATTTGTTATAAAAGTATTACTGATTGCACTTTAAAAATGAGGTAACTTTATGTTATTAAAGGTAAAGTTTAAACAGTAATGATTTCTTGGTTAATGTCAAGTTGTCATAACAAAGACATTTTGAATAATGTCAACTTTGTATTAAGTGTCATAATTTACCGAATGACGCTTTATGACAACAGTCATAAATATTCATGAAGGCTTATTCATGTTCATGACAGGTGTTATGTCATGTTTATGATGGTGTCATGACAGTCTTATTCAACCCCCTTCAAATAAAGTGTTACCCAATAGTCTAATTTGGAATGGATATGCATGCTTATTTCACTGCAATTAGTACATTACTGTGACCATAAAAAAATCAAAACATCTAAATGTTGTGACATTCTTAATAACTAAAGCAGTTTACTCAGATATATGCCTGTTTTCAGAGTGGATTTGTGGGAAGTTGTTGTTTTTCGGTTATTGTTTCAGCCCGGAGATTAAACTATTCTCAGTTTAAAAGAAGAAGCAAATGCCAGAAAGAGCACAGAGGGCAGAGATGCCCTTCTGATAACAAATGTATCCGATAAAGTTTTTAGTTGAAGCACGTCTGCGCTATAGATGAAAAGCGGATGCTCACAGTAGCTGCTGCTGCCTCAGAGACGCCATGGGAGGCCCTGAGGTTTGAAGTAAACGTCACCATTTTCACTTAGCGTTTTATTTTATTTTATATAGATTTTGGATTCTTAAGTTTGTAAGTCCAATAAAGGAAAAGAAAAAAAACTTATTGAGCACTGCACTCGACAATGTTTCTTGCTGCTCGTTATTTCTGCATAGGAGATGAGCATCAACAGCACAGCAGCCCATGGGCTAACCCACGCTGTTTACAAAGAGGCAGAAGTTACTGTCTGCCACATCTTATGCTTTTTCAACTCACGGTGCCTTTTTTTTTTATTGTTTCTGCTTAGCCGAGCCGGGCAAAGCTGTTTATGCACTTAGCACAAATGGATAAAATATTGACCTTTCCTAGAAAAAGTGCTGGCTTATTTGGAGTGTTTTTGAATGCTGCTGAACTAGCATGAAGTGAGAAAAGAAAATGAACGTCATTTCTTGGAAAGCGCAACCTCTGAGCTGGAGTTCGGCATGTTATCTGCCTCACTTCTCGTCTGATTTGGATTGTAGAATGATGGCAAAGTGACATTCAAACCATCATATTAATATATGTCCAGCAACCAAAAAAATTTGCAAATTTTATAAGTTTAATTTTTTTACGTTTGATACGGCTGAGACCACTGGCCTAGGTTCTGCATCTATTGGAAATGCGCGGAACATTTTCATTTGCGGCTATGCTTCGGCTTCGGCTGTTCAACATTCACCGCCAAGTCCAAAATGATTGTTCTTTACCTGAAACTTGACCTGTGGGCTTCGCTCCTGAAAGCACAAGACGATTCAAGTGTAATTGACAGGTTTTATGATGGTTGAGACATCTCTTCCCCCCCCTAGGCTGCCTCTCATGTTTGATTCATTTCTACATTGCTCCTTAGTCAGCACAATCACACATTTCATCAGTTCAGTTTCCCCACTGTCTTCTGTTCTCGCTACCGATTCGCTGTGATCTCTCTGGCCCTTCGCCTCAGTCCTCTCTGCCTCCTAATCTCATGGGAAACTCCTCAGCGTGACTGAGGCAACTTAGGAAATCACTCACTCGCTACCTGACTCCGAATGAGCCATATTAGTTTCATAGTGACAGTGATGGATCCCTTGCATCATAATTAAACCAGATTTTTTTTTTCTTTTCATAAAAAACACATCTATTTTGAATTGAATGTGTGACAGTAATTTGCTTATTTGTCAGCAAGGTTGAACAATATTTTAGGGATGCTAGTAGTGGCATGAGGCTAATAATTGTTCTTACTCTTCTCGTCATTGTTTTTTTTTTTTCTCTACAAAAATTAGGAAAGTATGCCATGAGAGATTTGATCCATCGGCTACCGGGCAGTAGTAGCAGCAGCAACAATAACACCACCAGCATTGGAACGTCGGGCAATACAGGCACTCCCAGCAAGGCCATGTCAGACGATACGGTAACTGCCATATGCTGCGCACTACATGAAGTGATAACCAAGAATATGGAGAATGCAAAAGCTCTACGCGACTCTGGCGGGATCGAAAAACTCATCGGCATCGCCCGCAGCAAAGGAGACAAGTAAGTAGGTCATGGTCAAGGATTGTTTTGTCTGCGACTGTGAAATAACTCGCGCTTGAAATGTCTCGCAGATCTCCATTGTCATTTCAAATCAGGAAACGCTAAATATTTAATGCAGCTTCTACATTAGACGTCTTCAAAGAAGGATTTTCTATTCCTGCCTTTTTTCCGAAAAGAAGTCTAATGTTAGCTGTTAAATAAATGATGGGGTATTTGATTAACATCATTTGCATCCCAGAAAGCCTTTATTATTTGGTTAAGTTCTGAAGTGAAATGTTTAATCTACACAGAGTTACGATATTAAAGAGTCCATTTTGGCTATTTGACCACTGCATGCAGGAAGGTCTCAGTCCAATTCCTGGAGACGTTTTGATGTCCAGAGTTATTCAGCACAACTCTCAACACCATCTGAAGCTGGTGCTGAGTTGTGCGGCGGTAAAAGAAACCTTCTGTTTTGCAGTCTTGGCTGCTCAGTTTTGCGGACCTGATTATGAGCTCAACAATGCTGTCAATTATGTGGCGACCAAAGGTTTTACACTGTATTTCTTTTGCAAACTTTAGATATTTTATGCACGAAAAGAGACACGCGATTTTCCCTCAAGGCAAACTTGATGGCTTTTCGATGTGTTGTTTACCTCGCAAAGAGGCAGTCTTTGTTGTGTTGTTGGGACCAAATGTTGATGTTTGCCTCTCCCCTTTGCATTAAAAGTAATTATGATGCAGTTGAATTGTCTTTATACTTAAGGATATAAGTTAAAGGCTCCTGTTGTAACCATTCCAACTTATAGATTAAACTAAGATTTTGTGCCTGATTTTATTTTTTACACTTCACATTTTTCACAGAGACCATCATTTAAGTAAGGATCGCTGAAATGTAATCACAGATTATATTCATTTGCAGAATTAAATATCGTTGTCATCTAAGTTGTTCAAACGAAATTAAATAAGAGCATTTTTAAAAGTGATTAAGATCTCATTTTGATGAAAATATTTATGTTTGAGCGTGTGAGCAGCTGTTTTTGAAGTATAAGTAGTTTGTGTGAGGAAATAAAGCTGAATGAAGCAGATGCAAAGTTGGTTACTGACGTGTGGTGATGACCTCACTGATTTACTAATTGGTGGTCTGAACTCAGTGCAGAATGCTTTAGGTGCTGAACTTTTATTACTAATCGATTCATTTTCACCTGGCTAAATTGAATTTTTAACTACTTCCCTGCTGAACATGAACTAGCTCAACGCAATTTTAAAAAATTTCAAAATAATTTATGAAATTACAATTAGGTCAGTCAACCTAACTGAATGGAAAACCGACTTGGAAAATGTGTTTGCAGTAAATCACCGAGAGAACGTGTGTGATACTCCAGCTCTGAAACAATGGATGCAATGTAACAATGGGTGACGTTACGTCAAAGCAAAGAAAAAACAAATGTCAGGGAGAAGTGATAAAGTAAATGGAAGAATAGAGTCCTGACTTCAGTTATCTCGCTCACTTGTGGGATAGAGCTTTGCTTCATTTTACCCGGCGGGCGCAAAATGATTTTTATCATAGAGCCAGATTAAACACAAACAGCTCTACACCGACTCTGTCAATGAAGTTGCCTGTTTATTTCCTTCACATTTCTTTGACTCTCATGTCCTCATTATTGTCTAGAAACACTAATCAAGAACTATAGATAATGTTCCCTTAATAATCCTTTGTTTGTCTGGATAAATGTTGCTCAGACAGGAGAAATAATTCTGCCACCAAAATATACAAAACAGAAAAAAAAAAAAATAGAAAGCTCCCTAATGGTTGTCCTCTTGGTTAACGACATGTTTAGTGAAAATTTTAAAATGTAGCGTAAATTCTTGTAAGAAGAGCTCAGCGTATTGCACACTTCATCACACACCATGTCTCTCTGTGTGTGACCAGCGGGGAGCCTGGCCTTTATGCAGCCTTTATCTCTCATTCATAGCTGCACCTGTGTTCCCTGTGATCATTCATCTAAGAAAAACAAAACGGAGCAACAAGGAAGACCAAGCTAAAATAGACCTTCTTACCACGGGAGACCAAGCAGGGCGTTCTGCCTTGCTGCTATAGCAACCAGCAGGTCAGGGGTTGCCATGACACCGAAGGGTTATCAGACTGAGGTCAAATGTTGATTTATTGTGGAGCGAGCGAGACTAAGTCTATTTAGGGAACTGTGCTCCGGGGTGCCATTACACAGAGAGATGAGGTGCTGACAGAAGCCTCCATAAATGCAAATTTCACAGCGAGAGTAGCTATCTGCTAATAATTCACACCTCTTCATTGTCTTATAGGCCCATAATTAAGCAGTACTATATAGCAGATTTACGCAATTACACATGGCAGAGTTTCAGGAAACAGCGCCTACATTTAAATCAAATGTGACTGTTGATCAGTGGCACAACCTGGGCTGAAAAGGGACTGGGATAATATTGTGAGTGATTCAGAGGGTCGGGACAAATGACTGCCGAAACACGTCCCTGCCGTCTACAAAACATCCAAAATATTTGTTCAGCCTGTAGCATCGGCTTTCATTTCAAAAACACGTTTTGGCACATTGCAGGTCATTGCGGCTTTCAAAGATCATTTATCCACTAGAAATCCCTGAGGAAGTAATAACATTAATGGTTCCATTAAATTAAATGACAGTGTTCATTGTGATTTGGACTTTAAACCATCAAGAGACGCACAAGTTTACACTGATTACTCCGATCTTCCAGTTTTGCAAATAAGTTATGGTCTCTTTACTTTCAAACGATCTAAATCGTTGTGTTTTCTTCGGGACAAAGAGAATTCCTTTCACTTCTGCCTGTTGTCAATAGGCTGGGACTCATAAAGTCACTTTCACATTAGTAATTTTGGTAACACTTTATTTGAAGGGGGGTGAATAAGACTGTCATGACACTGCCATAAACATGACATATCACATGTCATAAACATCAATAAGCCTTGATGAATATTTATGACTGTTGTCATAAAGCGTCATTCGGTAAATTATGACACGTTTAATACAAAGTTGACATTATTCAAAATGTCTTTGTTATGACAACTTGACATTAACCAATAAATCATTACTGTTTAAACTTTACCTTTAATAAAGATACCTGATTTTTAAAGTGCAATCATTAATACTTTTATAACAAATTTATATCAGTAATGATTTCTTGGTTAATGTCAAGTGACGCTTAAATACAACAGTCATAAATATTCATGAAGGCTTATTCATGTTCATGACAGGTGTTATGTCATGTTTATGACAGTCTTATTCAACCCCCTTCAAATAAAGTGTTACCGTAATTTTTCATCTAGGTGACAAGGAGGAAACCATTAGCATGGCAGACTGGGTCATTTTAAGCTCACACAAGAACTCTGCTTTTCCTCCGGAATAAAAAAGCAAAAATCATTCTCCTTTGAAGAGAGTAATAGTCTTCTTGAAGCCATTACAAGTTTCACCAGTCTACACATGTCTTGTGCAGCTGGTAAGAATGGGAGACAAAGTAACTACACAGCGTCACAATAAATGGGGTCCTGTGGAAATAACTCCCTATATTTTTCTCAATCTCTTTCCAGACACTCAGCAAAAGTGGTAAAAGCAGCCTCTCAAGTCCTCAGCAGTATGTGGCAGTACAGAGACCTGCGCTCCCTCTACAAAAAGGTAGGTGTGTGTGTGTGTGTGGCAAACTGTGTGTGTTCTGCTGCATTTGTGGGTTCTGAATCATGCTGTGCCACTTCCGTTGTGTTAAAAATCTTTAGTTCCAATTTGAGGTGAGTGTGGGATATTGCTTTCTTGCCAGATTTAAATCTCAAATGACTTGCATCTCTTCCTGCCGTTCTACAGACATTTGTCTCATGAAAAACAAAGCTATGTCAGAACCACACTACAGATCTAGTTTGGCGGTGATGGCACTTCTGTGTAATGGATTTCTCGACAACATAATAATTAGGAAAAATTGTTATATTTAGAAATCTGGCCTTGGAGCCTGATGGCTTTTCGTTTTCGCGAAAGCAGATGGCGAGGCCGATTTCTCTATAGAAACATGTTAATGAAGCTAATGAAATCCACATATCCGTCCTGCATTTTGACAGACGAACAGCGAATTAGTTACTTTTCTAGGCTTTTCTATTCCTTGATGAATTTCTGCTTTATTTTGTTTTCTTTTCTGGGACAATATATTTGTAGTTTAACTGTGAAACTGTGCAATTATGTGTGACTGATGAGCTTTGATTTATGTATAAAAACTCAGCAACACATCATCAAAGACAGTTTTATATAATCTGTTTGGGGCTTCAGAATTCAGCCAGCAAGGCCTAATAGGCAAACATAGCAATAAATAGGAAATGGAGGCATGTCAAATACAACTTTATTATTATTATTATTATTATTATTATTATTATTATCAATTAATAAAGTAAAAACCAGCATGATCAATTGCTGAGTTTGAGCATGATAGGAAATTTATTGCATACTTAGTTGAGGAAATAGTTTTGCATTTAAGCAAATGTTGTGCTTAATGTTCTGATTGCCCGCCATGCTGTCTTAAAGCATTATTGTGAAACAGCGATGGGACACAGATGTTTACCTCCAATATGGTTCCTTGAAAGAATGCCAAATTAGTTATGATACCAACGAAATGTGTGCAATGTCTGAAAGCTCTGTGATGAGATCAAGAAAGCTTTGTCTCATTAAAGTTTCTTCATGATATTAAAGTATAAACTTTTAACTATGTGGTTTAAGAAAATATTCCCAAAATTCTGTCTACGATGAAACAAAAATAAACTTGGAATTTAGTCCAGAGTACATCAATGAAGTTTTCTCGTTTTTTTCTCAAATTCTTTTAACTTCACTTGGGAAGGAATCGGCATTTATTTTATCTCTTGACGTTCAAGTAGCAGATAGACATGTTGAAGAAAGTCCTATTTTATGGATACTCTACCTGAGTGGAATATATTGCCTGTGATCCCAGCAGCTTCTCCTGAATAACAAGCATATCGTTACTTCCATACCTCATCAAGACTTGTTTTCATCCATCATCAAGAAGCAGCACAAAACCCAACATAATAGCCAAAAATAGACTTATTTTTCCTGGGGCAAGAGAGGTCGCAGTAAATGTAGAGGATCATGGTTGGTCTGTATTCAGAAGTTATTCAGCAACTGGACGTTTGCGTGTCGATGGTGATGTGTACATTTTGAATTGACTTTGATCTTCAAATATAACATCTTGTAAAGTGCTTCTGATTTACAGTAGTTAGAATATGGTAAAGTGGTGAAGGAAGGGAACTTATGTTAGAACCATGTGCCAGAAAGCAAAACATACCAAACCTTTCCCAAGTAAAATTTGCAATGCTGAGCATGTTCGCCTACTTGCTGACACTAAAAGCAGTGGGGTTATTAAAATGGGTTGTCTTTGGTATCATGTAGACAACTGGGAAAGATGAAGCCACACAGATATTGATGCAAGGTGCAAAAGGCTGCAGGTAAACTTCCTGCCTCAGCAGTTTGTAACCTGCATGTCCTGCCGCCACATTGTCATTTTGTACCAACCTATTTCCATTTTGTACTTGTAGACAAACTATGTGTACTTCGCATTAGATACTCTCTTGCTATTCAAGAATTTTTTGTGTAGTGTTGAGAAATATAATTTAAAAAATATATCAAATTTGACATATAATTTAATTCCACAGTTTATTGTACTTGGTGAGCTTTTATACTCTATATGTTTTCCAAAGTTTGATGCTTTGATTCCTGTTAGTATCTCTCAAGTCAAATGAATTAGGACAGATAATGGCCTTAAATCAAACCAAAAAAAAAAAAAAAAAATCAACATTTGACCTTTAGATAATATTGATGAGCTCACAGAACCATATGATGGATACTTTAATGTCAGTATAAACATATGAGATGAATACACTCATTCATACAACACACCATTGCACTTAACCCATAATAATGCTGCGTGAGAACACCGACACGTGTAACATTAGAGATGCTTTCAGGAGATGAAAGAAATTCACTGTAAAGCTTCAGCTGTCAAAGTACCAAACATCCCTCAGACAGGAAGGAATCGATACATTGTCAGTGTGAAACGTGGAAGACGGCTCCCTTTTGAATCTTAACGAGTCCCACGCAGCAAAAACATGCAAGAATTGACAAACAATTTAAAATGAGGGAAACTGTTTCTTTGGCTGCCATTCAAACACTTCAGCCCATGAAAAGTGTTCATCTGTCAAAGTACTTGCTTCTTGGGGTCAACCATGAACACACCTAAACAAAGGAGTAATAGAGCTGTGCTGAGAGAGGCGCCATGATCAATCACTTCATGTTAATCTTTCGAGTCCATTGTGTTGTATTGCTCTTTTGTATATATATATTTTTTTAATTATGCACACATATGCACTTACTCACACTAAATGCACTTCCAGGCTCATTGTTATTTAGCCAATTACTCAGACTGAATGGTGCAAAAACTGCAAACTAATGAATACAGCATTTAAGAGTAGTTCATAAAGAATGGCTCAGACTGTCGAAATGCAAGATAGGCATATATACCCGTGCATTTCTTCAAATCTGGTGCATGATTTAAATAGTTGCATGCTTAATTTTTTTAGCAGAACCACATTATTGGAGTCCATGTGTCATATGAGAGACTTTTGTTTCTCTTCAGATCACAAGACGTTTATCTGCCCTTCAGCTTCACTAAAACTTCAACGCTGTAATCGCAGAATTTTGCAGTACTACTTGACATATTAAGTGGGAAATGCATGTTCTTTGTACATGCATGTTTGAGCTGCATGTTTGTACGCTTAATTAATTTGAATAGCACCTCCCAGCTTATTGTAAGTTTTACTGTTTAATTTCCAAGCCTTTTGCTTGGCTAAATATTAAAACACTTTTTTTTTTTTTCAAACTTTTATAATGCTGTTGCCTCTTCATTTGGCTTTTTGAAGTCTCTCCTATGCTACATTGTGACATAGACAACCAGATAAGTTTGAACCAAGTCAGCAGCAGCTTAAAGGTGCATTCATACCAGCCACACTGGTCCGCTTTAATCAAACTCTAATCTGTTTGCCTTGAAAGTCCAGTTGGTTTGAGCATGTGTGAATGTGCAATCAAACTCTGATTCAGAGGGAAAAAAGAACACTGCTCTGCCCAAAAGCCCTAAGTCTCTGTTCCATTTTTGTTTAGAAGAAGGAAGTTACACTCGGCATCATTCTCAGAGATTTCCGTGTCATTTCCTTCAGTGATTCTTGGTGCAGCGACACCACAGACGAGGAGGTAAACGGGTTTTTCAAAGGGTTTGGTTCGTCTGACATCAGAGCAGTGTGATAGCGGATGGCACCAGCTGAAAATGTAACAAATGTTGCAGTTTTGGTCTCCAGTCGAACAGAGTCTACCAGAGTAGGAGGTGTGACAACACCCTAAAAGTTGCACATATTTCTGGCTCATTCCTTTCTTTCTTTCTTTCTTTCTTTCTTTCTTTTTTTTATTTAACAATGAAGTAGAGGCTCATTCAATGTGTCTGAGAGTCGAAAATACCTAAATTTTGTACTCTTTAAGAAACCAGTGTGTTTCCCCACTCCCCACACCAGAACTTTGGTTTAAAAAATAAACATAAAAACACTGAATTCTCGTACTTATGCTGTTTTATACATTTAAAGTTTTATAGACAAAATACCTGAGAATGTACTTTATGCAGTCCAATTCTGTGGAAATTGTTGTGCTAGAGGACTTTATCACAAGAGTCCAGAGCTCAAAATAAGTGACTTCACTGCTGGTATCCTTGCATGACATATTAGGTCATGGGTGTTAGCTGCTAGGAAAATCCTATTAGTCTCCAATCCAAACATGGATTAACATGGAGTTTAGACAGGAGTGGAGTGGAATGTCACTGGGAAGTGTTTGGAAGCAAACCCAAAGGAGCAAAAAGTTGCAGGTTATGACATTGTGAAGTGGATTTCAGGATTTATATATATATTTGTATATAGTTCAAAGACGAGAATGCTCGAGATAGCATATTTGTAGTTGTTTTGATGAGGAGAAATCTTTTAATCTGTAATGATTCAGTCAGTTTGAGATGTGTCTCTAAGAGCTGTGTGCTTTGAGGTCTTGAGGTAATGAAAAAGTTTTGAAAAACACTGTCAAACAGCATGGAAGTGGATGTTTGTTTCTATGTGAGTGCGTGTCTTTGAAAATGTGGGCTTTAAAAAAAAAAAAAAAAAAATTGCAGTAAGAAGAGTTAATCACATCCTGCAGCGGTGCCAGGCTGAAAGAGAGGGGTGAAAGAAAAGAGAATCGCCTCATATCGGACGGCAGGCCTGCATAACAGCGTTTGAACTTGAAGGAGAAGTTGGAAACCTATGAATAAACACTAACTCTGTATGAAAATACCATCTGAGATCACTTGAAAGACCTCTGATGCAAGAGTCATTAATAAACCAAATGTGTTTGTACCAACACAAACACTGACTTTAGGATAAATCATGTATAATAGTCTCCAGAGTGCAGTAAAGCACTACTTTTACCAGAGTTAATTTGGGCTCTTTGACAGAATGTGTATACGTGTGCGTGCGTGTGTTTGTGTGTGTTGGGTGCAGCTGTGCGTGTCACATCTAATCTCCAGCTTCTAGGAAGGGTAGCTGTGGGTCATCTTTTAAGTAAACAACAAATGAGTAGTCCTGTTCAACGGGGGACTTCCACTGAAAACGGGGAACCGAAGCATGGTCACTTTGTAAATAAGCCTACCGTGCTAATAGGACCAGAAGGAGCAAATTCTCTGAATCATCCCAAACAAACATATGAGCCCTTTCTCCCTCTCAAAACACTGAATTTCATATTCACACAGTCGCACTTTGTCATGTCCTTGTTCAGCGAATTTTCCTGTGTCGGCGTGGTGAGCCTCATTTCTTGATGAACGATCTGTCTCGGACGCTTAATCAGACACGTTCGCTCTCATGCGCGTAGAACCGCCCATAGATCATGCATATACATCGCAAACTCGCACAACTCAGACCCACACGTGTGACAGATGGTGTTCAGGGTCAGGGAGATGCTATGTTTGTCATACATGTGACAGATTTACAATACGTTTTCGGGGATTCATAATTTATTATGCGCTTGTGCCATTTGAGTTGAGTGAGAAATTAGAGTTTGATGTCTGTGTGTGATGTCACTGATTGCAGTCCAGAATGCTCAAGATGTTCCTGTTAAATTGAACAAATGCATCTGTAGGGAGTAGTGTTATGTAGTTTAGTTGCATATAAAAATCCTTTTTGAATGCAGAGCTGTTCACATATGGTCCTGTTATTGTCACCGCATAAGCACAAATTTACTTCATTTTGTGCAGCTGCTAGCCTCCAACCTCCTTTTCAGTTTTGTAGACTGCAATCTGACATACTTTGAATAAACGGTGAAAAAAAATTCACTTTTAAAATCCTCAGCAGATGTCAAAGCAACCATAGATCCAATAAGTAACTTTTTTCTGGTTTCTCTCTGATGTTCAACTTGTCTGTGTTAGGTGAACAGAGACAGAGGATTGCTGAGTTAACCCCCCTGTTAGCGTGGAGACTACACAACTGCTTAGAAAGGCAATATTGTGGTCCACATCTGTGGTAAGGAGGTCTGCAAAAAAAAAAAAAAAAGTACCACTGTGGTATCTAGGTCAATATCTTAAAGAGTAAAAAAACAGGCAACAGCGCAGAGAGACGTAAAGGTCAGAGGCACATAGATCCTGCGAGAGCAGGCGGAACATGTGTGAGTAAATCACTCACAACAGTAAATCTCACAATCTTAGTGTGAAGTGAGTAGGAGGGCATGCATGAATTGGAGGAATGAACAATAAAAAAAAGTCTTCAATGGTCAGTGAGATCCAGAGGGAATCCACCTCTTACTGTGCGTAACCTTTTTTACAATTTGTGCCATAATGGCTTTCTGGCATTAGTGGTGCTAGACCCATCCCCCCCCCTCCCACACACACACACACACACACACACTCACCTCATTTGTTAAGGCACTAATCGCTTTTTACCTCACAGTCCTGTGACCTTCAGCTGACTATCCGGTGATGGTGAGAGCAATAGGCAGACTGGTTGCCTAGAAACCCACTTTCTTTGTGTTTTCCAGTTCTTACAGTGGGAGCTGAAAGAAGGTGGGTGGGAGGAGAAGGGAAAAAAAAACTGATGAAAAGTGTAAAATAGGTGAGAATTTGTGAGACCTACACTCAGAGAATTAATTGGCTATTTTTGCAAGGCATTACAGGTACTGTATGTGGGTTTCGTTGTTGTTTCCATCTCTCTTTGTTTTATTTATTTATTTATTTATTTTAACTGGTAGTTTTATGTCTTAGGGTTGAGTTTTACCTGGCTTGTTTCTCATTCTTTCACCCATCACCAGGGCCTTGTTTTGGGAAAAAAAAAAAGTGTTTTCTACCAATCATTCAGAGTGAATCTACAATGACTTGCCAACTATGGGTGGAAAAAGTAAACGTTAAATTAACTTTGTCAGTATCTGCGAAATAAAAAATATTTTCTTGGAGATTTTTTATGTTTTGTCATCTATTTGCCCTACATGGGACATAAACATCCTAAAATAAAACCCCACACAATCATTATATAGTTCAGGTATTGCTTGTTTTGCTCTTAGAGGACCTCAAGGAACCCTGTGGCTCATTCCCCATTTGTGAGGTACATCTGTCATCTGCACACTACATATATCATCACTCTGCAAAATACATGTATCATTCAATATTCAGCGACCGTGTTCACTTGAGTGGCCTGACAGTCTGACAGTATCCAGTCACACAGCAGTCCAGAGTGCCGCAAGAAGGTTACATTGTGTTTAATGAGATTTGTTGTTGGGGCGAAGGAGAACCAAAATGTGAAATGAGGTGAGTGAGAAGACTGAAGCACTGCTGGGAAGAAAAAAAGGAGAGGTAAAGAAAAAAAAGAGTGGTAGGAACTACCTTTGAACTACTATGCGTCTAAAGATCCAGTTTTCTATTAGTTGTTAGAGGCGTGTATATTTTCCATGTTTGTGGTACAACTACGCAAAGGAGCCATTAAAATGTAACAAACTCAAATCAAGCTGATTTTTATCTTCCATGAAAAGAAAAGAGTTCAAACTACCATGGGGTATTTCAAGCAGAACATTTAATTAGTCTGCAGCAGGTGGTGGCACTTCCACAATGGCTTCAACAATGATTCAGAAGAGATGACTCAGAGCGATTTGTAATGAAACTGAAATATCAGATTTAATATCATCCTACATCACATGATATAAGCATGTCACAAGTTCCCATAAACGCGTACGCATTCAAACATCTGTACAAACTCTCAGGTCAGAAAGCATCAAAACACCACAGCGGGGGGAAAAAATAGAACGAATAATTCTCGCTCGAGCATCGTTACAGCTAAGCCGGTGACTTTGTGTTAGTTCAACAGTGATCGGAGCAGAACAGTTCTCATGAAAACGGATTATAAGAGTCAACAACAGTCACAGAGCTGGAACCAAATTTAATTTAGCATTAAGATAATCGGCTACCTAAAAAAAACAAAAACCTAAAGCACAAGCAGATGATTGAAGATTACGTGAACATGCCCCTTCATCGGCTTTAACGTCTGCAGCTCTCAGATGTGGGGAAGTGGTGACTGTAAGGACATTGGAGAGGTGAATCACTTCAGTGCAATGCAGCTGTGTGAAAGGACATGGATGGAAGGAGAAGACAACTCAGAGGTGTAGAGACGATCAGACAGTCGGCGCAGAATGTTGGACAAACAGGGTAACAGCTGAGGAAGACAGAAAATATGGCACAAAGTGAAGAGAGAGAGAGGGGAATGAGAGAGGAGGTTTTGGGGTAGGTGGAAGTAGTAGAGTAAGGAAGGAAAGAGGTGATGAGAAAAAGTGCAACACTATGCATAGAGGCGCAGACATAGCATGAGAGTGAAAAGTGGGCTGAAGTTCATGCAGTCCTATTTTCTGACAGAGCTCTAACAATATGTTACGTGCTCAATACTGTTGGTTGGTGCAAATAAACTCTAACCAGTCTTTTTTTTCTCTCTGCTGTGTGTTTATTTTCTAGGATGGTTACTCCCAGCATCATTTTGTGGGTTCTGCCTCAACAATAGAGAGAGACAGACAGAGACCCTACTCTTCTTCACGAACTCCCTCCGTTTCTCCCGTCAGGACATCCCCAAATAACCGCTCCGGTGAGGAAAACATCCTGCATACTTGCATACGTAGAGATACTATGAAGTGTACCAGTCCATTCTGTAACTACAAACCCCCCCCCAATATGATGCTGCCGTCCTCCATAGTTAGGATGATCTTCTCAGACTTCATTTTTTTCTCCAAATGTAATGACAGTCATCACTCCTAAACACTTCCATTTCAGTTACATGAGATCACAGGGCTTATCATCAAAATCAAAGAACTTAGCTGTTGAGAGAAATTGCAGTTGTATTGTTTTTTTTATGTTTCTGGAAAATTAGTTTCTTATTCCATTCTGTAAGATGACTCTCTTACAAGCGTCAGCCAACATCTTCACAAGGCTTCTGGCTTCTCCATGATGTCATTTGAAAGAAAAAAAAAAAATTAACTCAAATCTAAATCTTATACAGTCCTGACATTATCGTCTGGGCTTTTCCAAATTGTTGCAATCCATAGCAAATGTATTTTATCTAAACTTCTGAAGAAAATAGAATAGAGTAGAATGAAAAACATTATTTCATGTTTCACAATGGGATAACTTAAGTGTAATCAGAGCATTAAACTCACACAAAGGTAGGAGTACGCACAGTACAATAACAGAATTAAAAAAAACAATAACAAACTGTACAATAAGGACACAGTAGTGTACTCTACTCCAAAAGAATGTTCAACTGAGTGGGTTAATCTAAAAATGTTCAAAATGAAAAACAAAATGAAATAATATTTCATTATTACGGCATTTAGAAAATAGTAATAATTGTGCACATTCTAAACCAGAACAGTTTAAACTTTCAGTCAACAGAGCTAAGAAGGTGAAACATGTTTTCATACCGTGCATATAAATATCACGTTCAAACTGTATCTGTGTCGCATCTAAATTCATTTACATTTGTGATTTTTTTTTTCCAATAAAATTGAAAAAAAAAAAATGCAAACACGTTAAACCTGACATGCAGACACATCGATTAGCCAGTAGCATCAACATTCACCAGTCCATCAGTTTTATACTAAGACTAAGTAGCTCCTGGCATCAGTGCTTGCCATCTATTGGCTGTCATGCTATGAACTATGATTATCATTAGCCTTTAGCCTGAGCCCACTGGCCTTCATGCTTTGCAAGAGTGCATTAGCATTAGCTGTTAGCATTGGTAGTAGAAGAGCCTTTAGGTGTTCTTTCTCCACACCGGGCTTAGCAAGCTGATGAGGCAGAAAAGTACTTTTCCTTCCTCCCGGCTTAGAGAGGTCTTCAAGGACCCTGCTGAGAGACGGAGAGAGAGAGAAGTGAGGGACAGAATAAGTGTGTGTGTTGTGTGCAAGCATTAGGAAACAGAGACGAAGGAAGGGATGCGATAAACAGAGAGGGAGATAAAAAGAAGAAAAACAACCAACACGGAGACAAGAAGAAATGAGGATTGAGGGATGGTGCAGGGAGGAGGCTGCGAAGGCTCTGGATTTGACTTTGGCAAGCGACATTGGGAGTCGTTTTGTGTTTATGACACCGTGGAGTTGAGGGAGTAAAACTCTAAATCACTGGATGCGACTCTTTATCCTCCTTCCTCTGCTTTGTACACACCCTGTCTCCCACTCCCCTCTCATGCTTTTAACTCGTCGTCTCACTTTCTCCTCTTGTCCTCCTCCACCTGCACCTGTTCGCAGCAATATCCTCACCTCTTGCTTCTAATCTCTTACTCCTTCTCGACCACACACTCGCCCAGGCACGCACACACGCACACAAACCCACATACATTAGTATCTCCTCACTGCATATGCTCCAGACTGCAATCCGAGTCCTCAGAGATGGATCAAAGCAAAAGGGTGTAATGAAGGCATGCAGGCGCATTGGGAAAGGAGGAATGAAAGAGTTGATGTGAGAAGAGAATGATAAAACCGTGAAAGAGGAGCTGAGTTAAGGGGCTGAAAGAGAGAGAGGGCAGCGAGGAATACAGAGGGAGAGACCTATGCCTCCCTCATGGCCACCACAGGGTACCAGGATGTTTTACCCTCATACAGACAGACTGAAGGCCATGACAACCAGCCACTACTGGCCAACCTCCCTTGGTCACTGTAACCAGTGATAACCTTTTCCTTGTGGGAAACTGGCAGGTTTAATATTTCAACTTTTGAAATCCGACAGTAATGATAGAATTAGTGTAAATACCAAATGTCCTAGAGCATAAAAATCTTTGGGCGGAAAATAATCCAAAATACATAATACAGATGCACGTTTTAATGTATGCATGTATGTTTTCAATATCTAAAACAAGAATACTAAAAAAAAACAAAAAAACATCAAGTAATATGCACTGTTACAAAATGAACTCTAGACTCCTGATTCCAAACAAATTGACCAACTCTAGTGATACCGGCTGTCTGCTTCAGTGGCAGACAAATTCAGGCATGTTCATCAGATTAAATAACTACAAAAACTTAGAAGACGCTAAACACACTTTTTAGTAAGCCCACATTCCTGCACTTTAAAAAAAAAAGTATTTTTATTAGTCTGATGTTAATCTTAAATCATTGTAGCCAACAGAAAAAAAAAAAACT